GACGACTGATGATCATTTCCACATATCGATATCCTTCTTGATTGGCACGGACCACTACTGGGGCGTTGTCGAAGATGAAATCGTTAGGGGATCGGGCCCACTGCAGCGAAATCTAGAATCGGCTACTTGGTTTCTGGACGAACAACTGGCCCAGCTGTTGCGACAACATCACTCAATGCAACCATCTTAAAAGTCATTGTTTCAAACGAACACGAAAATAAAGCTTTAGAACGATTTTTGTATCTTGAGTCTAATGGGATTCTTCCAGACGAAATAGCAACCCACGAAGACAAGTTTGTTAAGGAATATCAGGATTCTTCTATACGAGTCGTGAATGGCCGATACAGTGCAAAGTTACCATGGAATCCTAACCATAATCCCCTTCCCACCAATGAAGCAGTAGCGCGAGGAAGAACCCTTTCCACTGTAAGGAGATTAGCCAAAGATCCCAAGATGTTCAAAACCTACAGTGAACTTATTAATGAACAGTTAAACCGAGGTTTTATTGAAAGAGTTACAAATCCAGAAACACCAAACGTTATTGCCACTACATCCCACATCACGCTGTATTAAAAGATTCCCTTACCACACCTACTCGTATTGTGTACGATTGCAGTTGCACCCCAAATACCGACCAAGCAAGCCTGAACTCATGCCTTTCCACTGGTCCTGACATCCTTAATGATATGATCGCCATCCTCGTCCGTTTTCGATTGTATCGGTATGCTTTAACCGCGGACATAGACAAATCCTTTCTAAAGATCTCTCTAGATGAGGGAGATAGAGATTAAACAAGACTTTTTTGCTACCTGAACCAACCAACCCCGAAAACAGCTTTGACGTGTATCGGTTAAAATCTATCTTGTTTTGTGCATTGTGTTCATCTTAAACGCAACGATCAAGAAACACCTTGACAGCTATAACGATCCAATCACACAACGAATGAAAGCTGACATCTACGTCGATAACTTTGCTTGTGGCACAGATAACGAAGACGAAGCCGCGATCTGCCTAATGATATAATGTCTTTTGCCAACTTCAATTTACGTGAATGGAACTCGAACAGTTCAAAGATCGATTCGTGCACTCGCCAATGAAGAAAACGCTCAAGACGACAACACCGAAGCAAAACTGCTTGGTTTTCGCTGGAACAGTAAAGTCGATACGCTGAAGCTTCAAGAAAAACGTCCACTTACTGACCCAACGAAAACGTGGTGTCCATAATTAAGCCGGATGTGTTACGAGCGTCTTCAAAGTATACAATATGACGGGCTAGTAGCCTTCATGAAACCCTTTCAGGCTTTTTGTTCAAAGACCCCTAGTTTTATAATATTTTTACAATTGTTTTATATGGTAAGTCAATCATATAATATCGAAAGAATATAGGAATATTTACAAATACAAGTATAAAGTAAGGAAAATTTTAAAGTAAAAGTAATATAATGAGCATAATTGAACAAAGTTTACAGATAATAACTATTAAGTATGTTTTACAAGAAAAATATTTTTGTCTTTTTTTTAAAAGTACAATACGCTAATTTCTTTATCTAGTGAATTCCATATCTTAACTCCCTTGTTAACAATAGAATGTTTTGTGTAATTTGTTCTACTAAAATTTACATGGAATTTGTCAGCATTTCGAGTATTGTAATGATGCACTTCATTGTTCTGCGCGAAGTAGCAATTAACAAATTCAGGTAAATTTTGAAGACGTTTAAACCGGTACATAAATAAACAACTTAAATAGTCATTGATCTTAAAGATATTCATGATCTTTAAGTTCTGAAACAATGGTTCAGTGTGTTCAAGATACGATTTAAAACTTATCAATCTGATTATTTTTTTCTGTATATTCAGTATTTTCTGTAGCCTTGTTGGGTACGTATTACCCCATACTAGATTCCCACAAGTAAGATATGGATAAACCAATGCATAGTAAATCAACTTAAGTGTATCTTTATTTGTGTAATGTCGTAGTTTTGCTATAAGTGCCGTAGATTTAATTATATGTTTAACAACAAAGTTTATATGGTTTTTCCTTGTTAATTCACGATCTAAAATTACACCTAAAAATTTGATATGAGAAGCCTGTTATCATTAAGTTTAATATCGATTTCAATGTCGCATTTTTTATATCTTGATTTAAAAATTATATACTTAGTTTTTGTTGTATTTATAGATAATTTATTCACATTTAGCCATTTAATTACTTCATTCATTTCTTTTTGCACAACATGCGTTAATGATTTTAAGCATTTGTTAGAGTGAAATGCATTAGTGTCATCAACATACATAACAAAGGATATAATTTTACTACAGTTTACGTTTTCAATATCGTTAATGTATAACAGGAAAAGTAGTGGCCCAAGTATAGAGCCTTGCGGAACTCCTGTAGATATAACCAATTTGTTTGATTTAGATGACCAAACTTGACAATTTGCATTCTTTCGTGTAGGTAGCTTTCAAACCATTTTAGGCAATTTCCTGTTATGCCATAATGTTCAAGTTTTTTTAGGAGAATATCGTGGTTAATTGTGTCAATAGCCTTAGATAGATCAAGGAAAATACCAATTGTATATTTACCATCATCTATAGCTTTTGAAATTTTGTCAGTTAATTCAATTATAGCATGTTAAGTTGACCGATTTTTCCTGACACCATATTGATGCTTAGATAAAATATTATGTTTTTCAATATATGAAATTAGTCTTTTATGCATTATTTTTTCAAGTAGTTTTGAAAAACATGTGAGAACTGAAATTGGTCTATAATTTTCGAACAGGTATCTTTCATTTGCTTTAAAAATAGGAATAACGATAGCTAGAGTCTGTTTTTAATTCCAATAGGCTTAAAAAATACCTTGAATCATCCAAGGGCTTTTATCGTAATTAATTATATTTCGTTCTTGCCGTTTTACTAAAGGAAAGCTTTTATCCAACGCTTGTATTAGTTTATTATGGAAATTCTTGTATGATTCAGAGGGGTCATTGTCTTCAACAATAATATCCCATGATATATCATTCACAGAATTTGAAAATAATAGAAGACTGGCATTATTGACTACTCTTTGATGTTGCGAAGTTTCAAATTTAGAAATGTACATTTTCGTTGGGAAAGATGCAATATGAAAAACTGGAAGATGATCTGGTATATCACTAAAAACTAATCCATTCTAACTGGATTCAATTTGTTCTAGGTCATTAGTTAATATATTGTCAATTAATGTAGCGGTATGTTCTGTTATCCTATTTGGTCTTGTAATACGTGGCAAAAATGATGACGTAAAAAGTTGCTCACTGAATCTATTCGAGAAGTCACAACTTTCAGTTTTTAAGAGGTCAACGTTAAAATCGCCCATTAAGTAAGTTATTTATTTACTTATCAATTTTAGTAAGAATTTTGCTTAAATTTGTTTCAAATATTTCAAACTTTCCTTTTGGTGGTCGATAAATCGTGCCAACATTAATATTTTTGCCAACTGTTGTAATTATTTCAACGAAGAGCGATTCAATTATTCCCTCTTCGTTGAAATTAAGGTCAGGACGAAGTTTGAAATTTAAATCATCAGAAATAAACATTCCAACTTCTCCGCCTTTTTTATTGTTTCCTTTTGAGCTAATGAAGCTAAAATTTTCTAACTTAAAATCTGAATAGTTTTCATCATCAAGCCATGTTTCTGTTAAACTAATTATCGAAAATGAGTATTTAAGTGATTCCAACAAAAATTTAAAAGAGTCAAATTTGTTTACTTTATTTCTTATGTTTAAATTCGAAATAGAAAATAGGTTATTATTACTATTTGGTATGTCACGCGAAACCATCATTTGGAATGTAGTATTTGCAAGTAATATTATCAATGTTAGGAAGCATGTTGTTGTCGTAATCAACATTATCAGTAGTTGTGTGTGAGTTATCAAAAGGGTTAAATTTAAGTTGCATCAATCTATCCATATCCTCATCACTGGGAAGTCGAGAAAAATGTCCAAAAGTAGAGTTAAAGTTTATATCATCTATTGAGCTAATAGGTGGCGAGTCGCTTAAGCACAAGTGGCATGTTTCGATTTCCGTTTGTTTAAATGTGAGAGGCGCAGGGTCGTAGCGAGGGGGGGGGGTATTGGGGGGGGTGGTTTACCCCCCAAACTTTTGTAAAATTAGCATATTCGGAAAATCGGGTTGGCCATTCGGAAAATTACGGCAATAATAATATAACAGAATTTCAGTTGTTTAGACAGAGAAAATATTATAAAATGGTAATGTGATCAGTATAAGTTATAAACTGATTTACGAAATCACAGCATTTACATGGATAACATTTAACAAATCGTAAATTGGTAAATGTTTTTTCGGTTTATTACTTCTCAGGGCCGTAGCAACGGGGGGGGGGGGGGGGGGGGGGG